GTGTGGTAGGCACGTTATAGTACTTGGATATATTGATGAGTATTAGATCCAAAATATGTTAATTTCTTGTTGATACGTGGACGACTTGTTTAAGACCACATTGCAGTTCCAGATGTCTAGACCGAAAGTTATTACTGTTGGGATTAAAATCTCCAGTAATTATAAAAGCAGTTTCTGTACTCTCCAAAATAAACATTTCAATACAGAAGCATAGGTAATCATAAAATTTGTCAATCTCATTTGTTATTGATGGAGGTAAGTAGATTGTTGCGATGGCTGTTCTCATGCAATACACTCCTAGGTAACCAGGTGGGCCCTTATAGAGTCATCCAGACACATTGAGTTGAGATAGATCTATAAGGAATAGTCTCTTATATATGTACAAATTCCGCCGCTGTTATTATCATTAGGTCTGTCTTTTCTGACAATTGAATAACCACTTATATGAACAATTTCATCAAGTATATGATTGGTGAGCCAAGTTTCTGTTATGCAAATTATATCAGACATAGTTTGATTTGCCCTTACTGAGAGTTCATCTACCTTCTACAAAGAAAAATCATAAGCGTGTCGTGGTTTTATATGTGATAAAAAATCATGTTAATTAATTTACATAAACTTTAGCTTTGATTTTCTCGGTTTAGACAAAGTTTATTTTAAAAATTACTTCGCCAATGGACTTGTATAAGATGAGTCGTTTTTTAAGCCATTTAAAGCACTTGTAGTCTTGTTTTATCACATATAAAACACTCTGCTACGCGTCATGTTTTATGTGATAAAACACTCCTACATGTGATTTATGTAGTACTTATGAAGTGAACAGGCGTTAAGTAACACATGCAGAAGCAATTTATTCATGTTCACAGGTTTTTTTTATAGTAAGTGCATGGTAGTCTATTGGAACATTGCAGATTAAAATTTGACGTATTCATCATTCCATTTTTATGACTAGGCTGATTGGGAACTTCCCCTTCGACCTCCATTGCCCGATCATTATCAATAATAAAAATTGTGCCAGTTCACTTTGCCTCTCTTCCAACGATCTATACGAAAATCTATTAATTCTTTGTTCCATCTTTGATTAAACCTTTATTTCTAAAGGATTTACTTAAATTACTGCACTGTTTTAAAACATCATTATTTTTCCCATGGAAAACAAGCTCATTTTCTTGCTGATGGTTAGTGTGAGAACTTTTCAGTTGATTTCTTAAAGTAATACGGACAGGAATGCGATGTTGGTTCGAATTGTGATTATAATTTGGTTGTACTGATGAACAAACACGTTGATTTTCAACATATTTAATATTATTGTCCATATTACTTTGCAGGTTGTTAACCGATGGATCAATGTTGACGTGATATAGTTGACTGGCACTGAGATCGATTAGCGGTGATTCATTGACAGTTCTGAAAACAAACCCGAAAAAGAAGACCAGTTAACATATGGTAAAGTTGATGCATTCAAACCAGCCTTGAACAACAACACTATAGAACTTAATGAAAATGGAAGTAATGTCACTCAACCATATTACACTCACAAAGTTCCTTCTTTAAGCTTTCAGCTTTTTCACCGTCAAACAATAATAAGCTCTTATTCTTTTGCCACAAAATGGTTATATTACCAGAATTGAATACCTTCTCATCTCCACCTGGTTGCAACCAGATTCTGTTGAGCTTTAGGTCTTCTTTTAAAAACAGTTTCAGGAATTCAAAGTCTCCAGCCCAAGCTAAACGCAGGTTTTTCTGCAAGGATGTTGTTGCCATTTTATTGTTTATTCTATTTGGTTAAAGTATTGGTATTTGTTGAGAATTTGTTAATTTTTGAAAATTTGAGCAGAGCACTAAAACACATGTCCGCTAGGCATTATTTGATGATTTGGCTAAGCTAAGCTAGAGATTTTGATATGGTTAATTTTCCATTAGCTGACATTGAAAGGTTTGTCAAATGTTTACATTCTGGTCCAAACAGATCTGATGTTGCGCTTAATAATGAAATGAATCGGGAATGTTTGGAAACAAATATGCTCTTGTTTGGTTTGCAAATTGATGCAGTTCCTGGAGATGGAAACTGTTGTTTTCAAAGTATTGTGGCAGAGCTGAACAAACTAGTTTCTCTTAAAGGAAACGAGTATGTCCATTTGGTCCTGTGTGTCCAACATAGGTTTCTATCAACATAGGTTGGCGATGCCAAGGCTTTTTGCAATTTTCTTTTCATCAGATATTATTCTGTCCATGTATCAGTTAACTTGTCACATGTGGGGGCGTCCAAACAGTAGAAATTTGTGGTTTATCGGCAGCAACAAGTAGTTTCTCATCTGCCATAATTTTCCTGTGATAGTTTGTGGTAGTTTTTAAATTGGACGTTTTGGATAAGTGAAAGCATCTTGCCTTCAAATGCTTAGTTGGTGACAGGGGTTTAGTTGTATTAAACACGAATGTTTCTTTGGCAGGCTCAGATTGTGTTGGCTTTAAAAAATGGGATGTTTTCCATCTGATGCGTCATAGCAATGATTCTGTTTTCTCGACCAAACATTTCAAGTATTCCTTTGGCTGTGTGATAGGTATGTTCTTAGTTGAGTATCCAAGGTTGGTAGGTTCCATATTAATTTGTAGAGTACTCAAAAATAAAGGATTCCAGGGGGTGGCACATTGGCCTTTATATTATAGCGCCCTAGAACTTAACAAAACTGAAGCCCTCAAATTGTGTAAAGGGAACTTTGACATGAACGTATCTGAAGATTCAAAACTGGAACTTCAGTGGTGGGTCCAAAATAGTGTTGAGTCAATAAGTGTTTATTTCCTGAGACAAACCGTCCCATGTGCTTGCAACAGATGCTTCCCTCGCTGGTTGGGGAGCGGTTAACAAGGGAAATCACACAGGGGGTTGGTTAGGTTGGATGTCGACAAATTGTGCCATATTAACTATCTTCAGCTACTAGCTTAGTTCTTAGGGTTACAGACTTGTTGAAAATCCAGAAGCAACACCCATAATTTGTGTCTATCTTGATAACACAACTGCTATCGCCGTAATGAACCATATGGGTACAAGTCACTCCCCAAATTGCAACTCCCTCGGTAAACATATCTGGGAATGGTGTATTAGCCGAAATATTTGGCCGAATGCTGCTCATACACTGGGAGTTGACAATACTATAGCCGATTCTGAATCACACAGTACTAAAA